AATCCCTTTAATGTTTTACCCTCTTTGTATTTTGCGGCAGCGACACGCCTCCTGTGCTGCATAAAGCAAAAAGTTCTTTTAAAAAAAGGTCATAATGACTGTGTGGGCACTGGTTCAACCTCCAGAAAACCAAACGTCCACCTGTGTCAAACTGCGGTAGAGGACCATTAAACTCCACCTGCTACTTCTCTGTGCTTTTAAAATATCAATGTAACAAAGTCGTCATCATCTATTGTACCTTCTAGGACTATCACTACAAAACACAGACAGGAATATGAAGTTATTCCTCCATTATTAGAGAAGTATAAGTCTTTATTATTTATTCATGCCAGCCCCTCCTTCACTGCCCTTCTCCACAGAGGTTCCTGTGGCACGGCAGCCATCCTCATTTGTTTTGCAAACTAATTCAGGGCTATCAGCAGCCTGGCCGATTAATTAGGCAATCGGTCGGGAGCAGAGGGAGTTTGTCACAGCGAGGTCACTGCATGAGGTGTCCATTATTCCCATCTCCCACTGAGGTGTATGTACACCTCTTACTGTTGGCCTTCATCATTGAAAGCAATGCTGACCCCCAGAATAAATGTCTTAACATTACTGTGCATTTAAGGGTTTTAGTTCAGGTCTTATTCTTGTAGACTTTTGAGTAGCTAAAACCAGAAGTTTGGGGGTTTTTGTTACTGAAACAATTGATCAATTATCAAAATATCTGGTGATTATATCTGTCTATGCTGACTCATCAGTTCATAAAACAATTGTTTCAGCACTAAAGAAAATATTCAATGAATCTGCTGATAAGCACACAGCGCTAAAGACAAACATCAATAGCTGTAACGTGACATTCAGATGCCAATCTGCTTTGAGACATTGTCTAACCGGAAGTTAGTTGCTGTAGTTTGGCCCATCTACTGCCCTCTTACCAAAATGGTAAGCAGCAGAGCAAAACAAAATAAAACAAAACAAAAATGTTTTCTATTGACCAATAGTGACGTACTTTTTTCTCCCGCCCTGCAAGCAATTTCACTATAATAGGTTAGGGGTAGGAACTGGCTAAAAGATGTTCGGGGTGCCTGGATAGCTCACCTGGTACAGCTGCTGCCCCATATAGAGTCCTTGCTGCAGTGGTGCAGGGTTTGAATCCAACGTGTGGCTCTCTCTCTCCCACCTTTCCTGTCACTCTTAGGCTGTCACTGTCAATTAAAGGCAATAAAACAATATAAAATATCATTACAACACATAACCCTTTTTTAATCTGTGGTATTCCTGTAATATTCCTAAGGCAACTATAGGGACTCATTCATTAGAGGCTAACAATGGAGACCAGTACAGTGTTGTCTTTGTTTTTAATCTATAACTTCAGTGGTTTCAAAATCACAGGCCACATTATAGATGAATATGGTGCTCTCTTCTGGCTTATAGTATGAACTACAGACAACTTTAAAAAAGTCATAGCTCGATTATTTAATTAGTAATAACACTGATATAAAAACAACTCAAGGCTCTGAGCATTACATTTAAAACCAAAAATGCTGGATCTTGAACACTCAAACTTTCAGGACCCAAGTCTGTAGCGTAAACCACTACACCACAGGGTCAGCTGTGTCTCTGACAGACCAAATTGGAAAACTGACCTGTTGCAGTAACTTCTCAAGTCTATGTAACAACTTCCTAAGACAATGAAATCAAATACAGAAAAAATACCGTACATTTAAAAAATAATAATAAAAGAAATAATAATAATCATAATCATAAATTGTTGGATAATTATTAATCTAAGTCATTTATCAAGCAAAAATCTACAACATTTTCTTGTCACAGCAAGAGTTGATGAGTTGCTGCTTTTATCTATTTTATATCATTGTTAAGGCATTCTTTATGAATCTTAGACTGTTTATCAAACTAAACAAGCAACTTGAAAATGACACATTGGAGGAACTGATGGACATTTTTTACAATATTCTGACATTTTACACACTAAACAATTTTGTTCCATGACTTAAGCATGGTGTTGGGCAAGTTACTTGAAATATGCAAATACTGGTTACATCTGACTAATTGCGGTAATTGTGTTACCTAACAAAAATAATATGTTCTCATTCATTCTGTTCATCAAGGGTTAGGGTTAGGGTTTTTCCCAATAAAAATCAATTCATCTATCACTGACCTTGAGGTGTTAACTCTTCCTTTCCTGTCTTTGCATTCACACTGCTGCAACTCCCTCTTCTCCGTTTCATTTCAAGGCTTTAAACCAAATTAAAAAACACTCAACACCCACCCGGGCATCTCTTCATCCAACCTTTCGGTCACCGGAGCATGAGCACAACCTCAAAAAACCATCCCAATGAGTCCAAACTCCAGTCCAGAATATAGAACCTGTTAAAACCAAGGCCTCCAGACTGTGGTAGGACCTTCCCGAGGAGCTACCAGTGAAGCCAATTTGTATTGATTGACAAGACAGTGAGACCCTGTCATTAGCCAGTGTAGGTGGTTTTTAGGACATTGATCAAGTGTTGGGAGGCAGAAATATTCTCAGTGGTGCTAATGCTGGCTCACTTTGACAGGAAAGAAAACATAAAAAGCATATCTTTGCTTCTATAGTATTGAAAAAGTTATCCTGGGATAAATTGAATGTTGTCGGACCACAAAGTTGTGTGTTCGTCGATAAAAATGTTCTTGCTGAAAGTTATAGACAACTTGTGGGATCTTTTCTTACCTTTTGTCTGGGTGAAAGACAGATTAAACCACCTTAAAGTTCTCTTTGCAACTGTTCTGAGGACATTTTGTATGTTTTTACACTATCACTTTTTAGTAAAACGTTCTGCTCCCTGGCAAAAGAAGGCTTCCTTAATTCCAGCGCAACACGACATGGTCAGTTCTCCTCCATCATGTTTTGGCCTCACCCCCAAGCTCTTATAATCAGTCACCTACAGTCACAATCAACCAGACACATTACTGCTATCCACAGGAAGCAGAGAGGACAGAGCTGAGTGCAACACAACAAGTCTACGATTTGGGGAAATATACTGGCACACAGTGATGAGGGTCGGCCCACAAACTCTGTGTAAGTTAACTGTACCACAAGTGTTCACTTTTGTTTCAGTTGGTGCTAAGCTCTGAAATCTGTTTTCAGTTTATTTATTTATTTATTTTTCTGTGTATAAATTATTTGATTTAATTCACAGGAATGTTTCAATGATAAGTTTAACCTTCAAAGATAGATAGATAATAAATACTCACAAGAATGAAATATCTTTGTATTATAACATTACATTAAACTAATGCTGAAATATGTCTTGTTTAAATTTGCTTAATTTGAACAACTTCAACTGTACTTGTTTTGTACACCACTACAAATCCAGCTCAGTCCACCTGTGATGCTGATGCCAAGTCTACAGTTTCTACATAATCCACAGATTTAGTGACAGACAGGATTGGACAAAGTCACATGTATTGTTGTCAATCCAGCTTCATCATAGACACCTCCTGAAGTTATTCTTTTTCCATAGCCACATCTACCACAGCACAAGCTCTACTTCAGGGCCTGAGCCAACATCTGTGGCCCAGACCACACCAGCAACCAGCGAGCAGCAACCAGCAACCAGCGAGCAGCAGCATCACCAGCAGCTCTTCAAATAAAAACTGTCATTGTCAGCTGTAATTCCTCAGGTAAGTTGGTCAAAAGCCAAAAGTCTTTGCTCCTACAAGTCAAATATTGTACATCAGTACAGCAGCTCTGTGAGGCTGTATACTTAATCACAGAGCAACACATTAACATGCTGATATTTGGCAGGTATAATGGTTATCTTAGTTAGTTTAGCATGTTAGCATCCTGACATTAACTAATTAGCACAAAACCATCAACATCATGTACAGCAGAGGCTGATGGGGATGTCCTTGTTTTTCAGGCATATGGTAATAAATAAAAGCAGGGCTGCATTAAATCCCATTGCAATTATTTGGACAGATATTACAATCTGATGCACTGTTACTGGGAATGTTGTTAATAATAATAATAATAATAATAATAATAATAATAATGTATAATAATATTTTTGCATCACAATTTTCATCATCATTTTCACTGAAAAAAAATAAAATCATGATGATGTGGAATTTGTTGGAGTCTGTACCATGTTTTTGGGGGGTTTTTTTACATTTGGAAAACAAGATTTATAGGCCAAACAAATGGAATTGAATGCTTTTTTCCTGATATTTTTAGGAACTTTTTATACAATTCTCTGTCTGTATTGTATGTATTTAATATTTAATAATAAATACATCTTAAGAGGCTTTTTCCTTGACAAATCCAGTGTTTTCTTCTCCCTGGCCATTGTTCCATTAGCTTTTTGGTTGTTTTAACTGCATACTTTTCTAATGCAGGACGATGCACAACGCTTGTGTTCAGTTCTTTTTTACACCTTAAATAATAATCTAATCCGTCTTTTTTTGCACCTGGTTTTAATTTGGCAGTTTTCTTCACAGAAATACACAAAATGCTGACATATAGGCCAACTGTGTGTATTTTCTTAAGTTTTAAAACGTGAAGCTTTGGCGCCCCCTAGTGGGGTTGGGAACCACTAGTGCGGCTCACATCTTTCTAACTTCATTTCCAAACAATGCTGCCTTGTTGCATAGCTATTTTAGTCTAATTATTACTATATCTTTATTGTGTTTCATGACTCAGAGATTATCTATATGTTGTAATAATATTCTACTTTTTAACTGTCTTTGCCACATTCTAAATGTATGTGCTTCTCTCTGCTGGTGTATAATAATAATAATTACAATTAAGATGTACAATTTAATCAGTCACACTATACAGTAGAACATCACATTATAAAAACACATATATAAAAGTATACTACCAATAGAGTGTGTAACCTTTAGTGCAACTTCCTGTGGTCTTTTGTTTTTAAGTCTTCATTACAACAGCTTCTCACCGTGACCAGGCCACCCCGTGAGATTTTGAGTGTGACTCAGTCATCGTGTAGCCTCGCCCCCCAGGCTCTTATAATCAGTCACCTACAGTCACAGGAAGCCACACACACTACAGCTGTCTACAGGGAGCAGAGAGCGCAGAGCTGCAGTTACACAAGTGCTTGTGGAGATACACAGTAAAAGGAACACAGTCATGAGGGTCAGCCTGAAAGCTCTGATAACATGTAAGTAAACTCTGACATCAATGCATGCCATTGGATTTCTCTCCTTCTCTTTTTAAGATGTGCTTTAATGTAAATGTCTCGAGGAAGTCAGAAAACGGGGAAGGTCACAACGCAAGTGTGAAGATAATTCACTAGCTTTAAGGAAACTGCTGAAATAAGTTGAATGTTAGTAGTGGATGGTGACATTTTGGCTCAGGGAGATGGAGGGACTGCAGATATACCATGTTAAAAAGTTGACAAGCCGCACAACTACCATGTAAATTCTTACATGCTCCATTGCAAAAATGTCTCGGTTTGTGTGAGGTGAGGTGAGTCATTCCTGCTTGTTTCATTCAGTCTGACATTTTTCACAATTCAACTTACAGCATCTTCAGTGTTCATTTTCATTCGAATCACAAGCCATCTCTCCCTGATGAGCGTTAAGGCTGCGTAACAGAATGCTTCTTTACTGTTTGATTTGCTGCTGTGCTCTCACTGAGAGAGTACACTAGATATTTCCTCTAGTGTTCATAACTTAGTGACGATTAAACTGATGTGCTCTCAGGCACTGACTTTGAATCTGTGAAGGACACTGTGTTGTTATAAAATGTGCGTATAGTGATGGAAGTCTTACATCACAGGATAATGTATTATCCCTTAAATTATTTCTGAAAGATTGAGACTCTCTGTTATTGGATGATGCTGAAAACAGCAACAAAACAACAACACTTCTTTATTCATTTGAAGTCTGATCGTTCTAAAAACAACGTGACCAGAGTACTAAGAACACATGAAAACCTTGAATGTGTCATACCTGATCTTTGCCCTGATTTCCATGTCATTGGAACAGTGATAAACGAAACTTTGCCCCTCGTCTTTAAGCATTACATTGTCCTGCACAAAAGAAAATCCCAGAATCAGAAATATTCTATTGATCCCCAGGGCGAAATTGGGTTACATTACAACTTATCAAGGTACTTAACAAAGATAAATAGAAAATAAGAATGAAAAGTAAAACTATGTGCATTAAACTAAAAAAATAAAAAGTATACTAATGTAACAGCAGTGTAATAAATAAATCATTATTATGCTGAGAACTGGATCTATGAATATGTGTGCCAATGCGATAACAACAGTATAAAGTTTATTTTCATTATTAATGTCAGAGTCAACTAGAGTATTGCCTGTTTAAATAATTATTGCACAAATGATTGCACTGTTAAAGTCGGAATGGTACAATTGAAGTTATAAATTAGCTGCTGACAGGGTGTGATAAATTGATGTCCACAGCGCAGTCTAATGACCGAGTTGAACAGTCTGATGGCCACAGGCAGGAATGACTTCCTGTGGCACTGTGGAGCATCTCTGTGGAAGTCCCAGGTGCTGAAAAACCCTGACATACAGGATTGTTTAAGGATAAAGCTGGCATTATTCTGTATTTTTCTCATTATTAACACATTCCCTGGAAAAACTAAAAGCCAACAATGTGTTAGTCTGTCTCTCACTACTTTCTGACATGCCCACCTTGTAGTTTTTGTCACAGGAGGAAACAGTACATTTGTTGGGGACTATATTCAGCAGTGGATTCATATTTGGTGGTCTAGTGAGTGTTTATGGCAGTTTATTTTTTTTCTTTTCATAGGATTAGTTGACAATAACAAATGAATATCAAATGAATATCCCCTGCCTGATAAGTAAAAACTTTACTTTGATACCTACTCTAAGTGCCATGTGCAAATGTCTTTGCGTTCCTTGTGTTTATATATATATTTCTTTATTGTTCCTATATTTCCTTGTGTTTGTGTGTGTGTGTGTGTGTGTGTGTGTGTGTGTGTGTGTGTGTGTGTGTGTGTGTGTATACACTTTTGATACTACAAATTGGATGTTTCGAGAGATATATACACACATATATATATATACACACACACACATATATATACATACACATTACTATTAATAATAATTAATAGTAATAATATGGGGTTTTTTTTAGGAATTGGTTGCCTGCATAAAACTATTGTACATCTGACCACTCTGTTTCTTGCCTAGCCTGGTTTGTTTTTAGCTGTGAACAGGGATGGGACGATACGCAATATTATCACTAAAAACACTACCAGCTGCTAGTTTAACATTGACTGATTTCAGTCAGGAGGCTGACTTTTTCCTGTGCCCACATATAACAGATTAAAATCTGTCTATTCCATATGCCTCTGCAACTAGTTATGATTGAGATTTTGTTGTTGATGGATAAACCTACTGAGATGTACCGTCTTATGCCCAACAGGATCCAATAACATGCTAATGAAAGCAAACAACAACACAAAAAGAAAAACAACAGTGCTGCAGTGCAACTAAAGTTGAACAATCAACCATAATATAAAGTAAAGCAGTATTCCATAAAGTTAGGGGTACTCAAAATGGTTATAACTGAGTTACTTGTTTGGAAAGCACAGCCACAGAAGTCACTGCACAACTGTTTTCCCCAAGCCCCCAGGAAGAGCCCAGGGCTTGAAGCCAATTTGATATAGAGGCCAAAGTGTGTAATTACAGTAATGGTGTCCATCACATGATGCACAGGGGCCTAAAATCACCTTACAAGACATACAATCCGGAAGCATATGCAGGAAATATTGGTAATTTTATCCCGGGATGAATGCAACACTGATCAGCTTCCACAACAATGAACAAAGCTCTCCTTTAACACATCCATGGTTTTCAAAGATTGAGTAGGCCCTTTAAGATAGGAATATGAATATAAATATGAACAGGTGAATAATCATTCCACTAAGGTCTTCTCAGGTTCTTCATATGCTCTTATTTATGTTAAAAACACGTTGCTGCAGGTGTGCACTTTTAAACATCTTTTGTCATGGATTGCAGGTCTGCTATGGGGCTGTGTACTAACAGCAGAGCCCAAACTATCTATCTCTCCACAAAACCCTGGGAACCTCAGCACCATACCTCCATCCATGGCAACCGATAACGACAAAACAAATGTTCCTAGTACAACTCCATCTACAACTACTTCCACCACCAATAACACTTCCACCCAGGCTGCCAGCACTGAGGAAAAACAGACTCCTGACTCGACAACTCAGGACTCTAGCATCAAAAAACAAAGCCAGTTCACCAACACAACTACTATTACCAACAGTACCACCACCGGCACCACCATCAGCACCATCAGCACCATCCCCAGCACCACACAAAGCCAGTCCACCAACACAAGTACTACCACCGACAACATCATCCCCAGCTCCACACAAAGCCAGTCCACCAACACAATCACCACCACCGACAATGCCACCACCGTCAGCGCCATCCCCAGCTCCACACAAAGCCAGTCCACCAACACAAGTACTACCACCGACAACATCATCCCCAGCTCCACACAAAGCCAGTCCACCAACACAATCACCACCACCGACAATGCCACCACCGTCAGCGCCATCCCCAGCTCCACACAAAGCCAGTCCACCAACACAATCACCACCACCGACAATGCCACCACCATCAGCGCCATCCCCAGCTCCACACAAAGCCAGTCCACCAACACAATCACCACCACCAACAGTACCACCACCGTCAGCGCCATCCCCAGCTCCACACAAAGCCAGTCCACCAACACAATCACCACCACCAACAATACCACCACCAACACCACCCTCGGCACTACAAAAACCATCAGCACCACCCTCAGTATCACCAGTAGCACCACTTCCAGTGCCAACACCGCCACAGAGGGACAGGACGGACACGAGTCCAAGGCTCTGAGCTCAGGTACGCAGCAACAAGAAGTTGTTTTGAATTTTTGGGTTTTTTAGATTTGCTCAAGTAAACGTGTTAACACAACGTAAAATATATTATGCAACAGGTTTATGCAAACTAATTTCATATACTCTTTCAATCTTTATTTTACACTCAGAAACAACACAATGAGGGATAATAACCCTCACTTACAAATGTAATATTTATAATAAAACAAATCTGTGTGTACTGTAGGAACAAGACTAAGGCATGCTAGTGGTTCTCTAAGGCTACAATTACAATGGTAACATGATGATGTTAAACAGGTATAATATTTACTGTTTTCACCATCTTAGTTTAGTGTGTTAACATTCTAAGAATTGGTAAAGCAATATAAGCAAAGCTGAGGCGGTTAAGACTTTCACAGATGTCTGTTCATAAACCAAATATTTGGAGAAGTAAGACCAGATGACAGCGCTAGATGAAAAGGTCTGGTTTCAAAGTAATTGATTGATGTTTTACTTTTAGGGACCGTGAATGTCTATATCAAATTGAATGAAAATTAATCCAATAGTTGCAGAGATATTTCAGTGACAACAAAGAATGTCAACCAGCTGGTGGCAGTTTGAGTAATTGATTCATGAGTTTGAAGGCTTATTATCAGACACCAAAACACTGCAAAGTAGTTTGGATACTATTAGAAAGCATTGTACAACCCTAAAAGAATATTCACTGTGGCAGTCATATTTTCTCTTGTCTTGATGACTGGGAGGTAAACAAGGTGATTACATTAGTTAGTAGTCAACCAGGAATGTGCACTTGCACGTATTTGATTGGCCAATACAGTGTTTAGCCAGATGGCATTGCAATGCAAACTTTGACCCAAGGTACGTTTTCTTTTGCTGGAAAACCCCACGTGCCAGAGACTCTGTGGACCCCCGCTGTGTCACTGTAATCATCCTACTGAAATGAATGATGGAGCTGTGTTGATGTAGTGCTAATTTCTGTCTAAATGTTGCTGCTGTTAATCACTGGACTCATCTTTACAAACCAACTCCAGCTGTCTGCCACTCATGGCCTCTGATGTGCCAGTTACTTATTAACTTTTTTATGAAAGCATAGTCAAAATATATTGCCAGTAAACTACAAGTTACTTCACAAAACCATTTGTTTCTGATGTAAATCTGATGTAAATCGTCCGTCCCTTAAAACCCTGAATGTGAGTGTCAAATGTAGACATGCACAGTCAATGCATCAGATTATTTGTTCCTCCTTCTCTGTGACCTCCTTAAACAGTGTCAATCTGTGGTTAATATGTGAACAGTTTCCTCCTATGCTTCCTTGTTTACTTTGCAGTTGCGTCTTTACCAGCTCAATGAGTGAAAATGGCAGCTGTAGGAAGAGAAAAGGCTGCGGGTTCTTTTGCTGCGCATTTTATCATTTGCCAGCCATTTATTGCGGCAGCACAAGCAGCTCATTACAGGCCTGTTAGAAAATGCTAGGAGTTGTACAAGACTCAATTTCTCTACAAATGGGAAACTTTTTTTTAAGTTGGATGTTATCTTCTGTGGACTTATGATCCCAGTGTTATCATATTACCGTCACCTTTGCAAAGACACAATGCTGGTTTAAGTGCTCTTTAATATGGCACTAAAGCCCCAACCACTCCAGGTTTGTTGTCTTGAAACTCCCTTGTGTGAAGGAACTATGAAAATGACTTCCTTCCCATCATCACTAAACCATAAATTCTGATAATACCTCTGACTCAGAACATTTATTGCATCTCTGAGGGTGGTAGTTTTGGAAATTACAGCTTCAAGGCTAGGTGTCCTATTAAAAGTGTCAATTACAAGGTGTCACCCAGTGCCCCTTTTGAGGAACTAAATCTGGAATTATTTCTCTGCAGTTAAAGTCCAAAATTAAAAGTTTATGTAAGTTTTCCCATCACATCTGAATAACCACAAGGATTAGGCAAATTAGACGAAATAACGGTTTAAACAGCAGTGGTTTCTAGTCCATGGTGGGGCAGTACCAACCCCTAGAACATTGACTTGTACAGTAACCTGACTGGGTCATATGGTTTATTACACATAATCATCTGGGAAGTTGTCGTTGGAAACTGGAAAAGGGCAGGCACTTTTAAAAAATATTTCCAACCAACCATCCACAGTGGGCGTCACGGTGGCTCATAGGTTAGAACTGTCATCTCACAGCAAGAAGGTCCGGGGTTCGCCTGGGTTTCCTCCAGGTTGTCCGCTTTCCCTCACCATCAAAACATGTATGTTAGGTCAATTCTCCAGTCAAAGCCCTTGACCATGGCACTGGCTCAGATCTGGAGTTGGACCTTAGGTATCGCATGGTGGCTGCCCACTGCTCCCAGTACTTGGTGTGTATTAGTCTCCACAAGCCACACTCTTACACTCCCCCTACCTAACGCAGGTTGATGTAGGGTTACACTGAGTTCAAAGATCAGACACTTTTGTCCCATGATGAGTTGAAGATTGATAATCTACAGTAAATAGACAAATTCACAGGTCATTCATTGTTTAAGATAAGGTCCCATTTTTTTGTCAGAGTAAAATCCCTAAATACCCTTCCAGCCCACTGTTGAAACTCAACAAAGTTATTCATTACTAGGTAGTTTGATTTTATTATGCTTCTTAACATGTTACAGGGTCTCAGTACCAGCTCACAATTACATACTCTGAGACAGTTGGCCCAGTTTCCCACATGAAATTACTAATTAATACATAAGCTCAAAGGTCAGTTTGGCTATCAAGTCTTACATGACACAGGGTTAGAGATTTACCAGCAGAAGATGAAAGTCAGTAACAGTAAAGTAGAATCAGTTGAGGCCAGCCACGTACTGTATGGCTTGGACCCATCAGGGAACTATGGGGTGTGTTTAGATGATGACAACCTCATGAAACCCCTGGACAGAACAAACATTTTAAAGTCAGACCTTGTAAATTTTCAACAAAGAATGACTTTTTTTGTCTAACAGTGGATATTTCAGATCTGACCTCTCTCTCTCTCTCTCTCTCTCTCTCTCTCTCTCTCTCTCTCTCTCTCTCTCTCTCTCTCTCTCTCTCTTTCTCTCTCTCTCTCTGCAGGAAGTATTGCATCCATTATTTGTGTGTTCATCCTAACTGTCATCCTAGTGTTAGGTGGGCTGTACTACCACAAGTTCCGGTGAGTCCAGATCTCAAACAAATCTCCTACAAAGTACATTATCATACTACTGTCAATGTATTAAAGCTTAAGCGATGGCATTCTGTCGGAAATGTAATATTATATGGATTACAATTATATTGAACTATATACTATACTTTAGTTATCTGCCTCTACCCCAGTACAATAAAGATGGATGACATTTCATTGGTGAAGCTCATTGCACTTAAAAATGACATTTAAAAATCAAGAGCAAACCCATTTTTTTCATAAACCATGTGCTGTTTACTCAGGAGGTTTTACTAAACACGCTATGAACAGGTGTCATAAGGACTATTCTTACAACAGTATTGAATGAAAACTGTTTGATTTAACTGAGGAGATTATTTCAAGCTTCAGAACAGCTCTGATTGATATAGAGTCATATTCCTTTCCTTTTTCTACACCCGACCTTATCTCTCACCCTATTTTCTATTTCCTCTCCTTCCAGAAGAACATCTTACGGCCCTCTCCTGGAAAGCAACGAACACGAAAATTTAGGAAACTTCAACAACCCCATGTATGACCCTTAAATCTTAACTTATGAGCTCCCACTCCAGAAGTTATCCCCTAAACCCAAAGGCCTCAGTCTGCAGAAAGAGTTGTTCTGATCATAGTGTGTTTATAGCGTGTGCATAATGAGTTCAGGACGGTCACATTTTATAACTGTGATAAGCAGCCTGACGACTTGATTGTGCTTGATCGCAAAATGCAAAACAAATGTTTCTATTGATCTAAGTTCAAGTAGCCTCAGGAAATAGCTTTTCAAACCACTCGGACTGCATAGACACAGCGCACAATCATATAACCACAACTGAAAGTTCACAGGTTAAATCACAGTGAAAACAAGCATCTTCACCACAGGCATCAGGGATCTCACAGTCTTTGGAAGGAGAGTTGATTTTGTGACTTCCACCAGGATTTTCTTTACAGTAAAGCTAAAAGAAAACAACAGAATTTGACTTTAAGCAATTGTAAAATGATAGCTTAAGGCAGAATAGAGTGGCAATAGATGAGGAAAACCTGACAATTGACAGGGCCATCAAAATGTGTGATTTAACGGCTCAAGATGGTCATTTAATCATGGATGGTTCTTTTGGACACCTGTTGAGACTTTTTCCATACTTAAACTATGAAATGAGATTTCTGTCACAAAAATAGATAAATGTTCAGATTTTTAGGTAACGTTAATTTAGCCGTCGTTTAAAGCTTAGACAACACTCATCAAGAAATGACCTACTTTTAGGAAGGAAGTGGAAACTTGGTGAGGATGGTGATGACACATAACGGTCTGAGTGGTTTTACATTGAGTGGAGGCCTGGCAGAGTGAAAATAAGAACAAGAGAATAGAAATACAATTTATGGAGACAGAATAACAGGAAGAAAAAGATGTAAATAAAACAATGGCATCCTAGCACCTCTTTTGTACAATTTCCTTTGAACCAATAATCAATTTGGGCCATTTTTGAAAGCGGAAAAATAAGAACTAGGGCTTGTTTTCACATATCTTTACAAGAGATTTAAGAAAATGTCGAGGTTTCATTCATTCCTTTTCAAATGAGGCCTGTAAAGGTTTTTTCCATTCCGTCACGTGCAGCTCTTTCAAATGAATATGAACTGTTTTCATATTGCAATCTCTGCTGGTGCAGAGGCAAAGAGAGACTGGCCTTCAAAAGGAAAGTCTATGGTTCAATCTCTGCGTATTCATCCTGAAGTCTTGAGCAAAACACTGAAACTCTTCCTGGTCCATCTGCTGATCTGCTGCTGAGCCTGACCTTTGACCTCCCTGTGGAGGACCCAAAAAGCACATTTCTTTACAGCAATCATATCAGAATGAAGCCGGAGTTCTTAGAAAATTTACACTGACACTGTTTTTATTATTATTGGATGTTAATAGTGTTTCTAACTTTTTGAATGTTTTAGTGAGATGTAGCTGTGCTTAGCAGCTCAACATGGCTGCATTTCTAATTGTAACTCCTTCAGTATTTAATATAGTATTGTTTATTTGTATACAGGAGAAGAATAATGTGACAGCTGTTGTACTTCTGACACAATTCTATTGTGGGATATGATTGTCTTAAATTGTTGATGTAATTAAAGTGATAACAGAATAATGTGAGTCCCTGTGATTGTCATTTGGTACCCCAAGTTATATCTGGTTCCCACAGTGTTACAAAGAATATGCTGACATTATTCAGTGAAGGTAGCTAGCTAACATTAGCTTAATAGCATTAAATTAACCACTGCGTATACTGGGTTACCAAACACTGAAACTCAAATTAGCTTCAGCAATAGAGCAAGTCAATCGGATGAGCGATTGTTGAGACATTCGATAATCTACTTAGAGCTCCCTCCATGCTTGTGACAGTACTTTACAGTAGATTATATAACACACACGTTTTACAATACAACTGCATTCAATCTTTTGGAGTGTGTTATCCAGAATAACTACTGTAGCTATCTAAATACAAAGCATTATAGCCGTTTCAAAAACATTTGAAACAAATAAAATGATATTTTGTGTGCGTAAAACAACACATGGATGCCGAGTTTCAGCACAATGTCTTTGTCTCCTCAATGGGCTGCAGAGTATTTATTAGTGGAAGCTTTAATCACGGTCCTGTCATCACTGCCCTCCCATCGTAACTGCTTCCATTCTCCCTCTTCCTCAAACCCTTTCCAATGAAATCCTCCTCTCCTGCCCACGCTCCTCTTCTCTCATCTTACTGTAACCCCACACAAGCTTCCTCGTGTTGTTTTTCTAACCGCCCATCTTCTTTCTGCCTCTTCCCTGAGCTCTAAAATTGTCATTGTAAATGATTTACTGTTGTCTTTTGGTTGAATGTTACTGAAACGCTGTGACTGTAACTGCTTTTCAATTGAATCTGGTGGAGGGGTAAAGAATAGGTTTAGAAAGAATTACATTTTGGAGTGGATCCAAATCACAGGACGGCTACACAAATTATTATTTTTCACTTTCCTTAGCAAAATAAATTTTTCACACAAGCGTGAACCTGTCGTACTGAAAGTGCAGCGACTAAACATAGAACAAAACACAACAGCCATGTCAAACATCACTAGAACCCAATGCAGCGGGTTTGTAAGGAATAAGCAAAAAGGTATGTGACATTTCCAGATAATCTGGAATTATGGATTTTCCAACCTGCATCAATTCATCAACTTGAAGTGAACGGTGTGCAGATTTTCATATCATTGAAGACTGGACTATCAGAGGTCTGTGCTCTTCCAGTGCCTTTCTAGTTGCCTATGAATTCTTTTCTTTTTTTAAAGAAGGATGGTTGTTTTAAGACAGAGAGGTCTGCAGTGTGTACAGGATATAAATCCCAAATCAAATTACTAGCCTAGTAACTATAGATGCAAATATTCCCTCCATACATGTAGCCTAGTGAATTATAAACATAAAGTAATATAAAATGGAAATAATCAAGTAGATACAAGTGCCACGAAAATGTACAAATTCCCCCGTTCTCTATTACTGGGCAGCAGCAGTAATAATAGAGGGAGCAGATTCTTGTGCTGCACTGTTATTATCAGGCCCTAAATACTCTAAGCAGTGTTTGCATATGTGTGTATGTGTGTGTATGTGTGTGTGTGTGTGTGTGTGTGTGTGTGTGTGTGTGTGTGTGTGTGTGTGTGTGTGTGTGTGTGTGTATGCGCGCTTCTTTATAATTACACTGAGGGAAGGGCGGGACCATTTCTTTACATTAGAAACATCTGGACAACAGATCTCCAAAATGACATACTGCACAAGGACTTTTACTTTTAAATGTACTATGTGAATATAAAACTTATGTAACAAATACACTCCTTAAAACGGGCCACAGACTGCCACTGTTACTGACAGATATGACCTCTTTACTCTACAGTGCAGTGTCAGTAATCTGGGATTACATGAAGTCAAATTCAGTGCAAATGTACATTCTCTTTATGTTATCAGACATGCAGTTCCTTCCTGATTGGATAATAGGAGAAATGGGAGAAAAAATGATAAGAGGAGAAAGAGTTTCTCAGCCGGCAGTGATGCTGCACAGTAAGGGTGAAGTACGGTGAATATGGTTGTTCTTCCGTTCATTCACTGGCCTCATTATTACAGAGACGGTGTCAGACTTTGTGAAACAGGAAGAAGCCTTTTCCTCTCTCATTCTTCACTCGCTCGAAGCTCATAACTGTTTGAAACCGCAGTCTGACAACACAAAGCACAAATATAATAACGGGGGTGGGGCTTACATGCTGCGAATATTTACCATTTCGAACTATGATACGTACACCTTAAACAAATTGCTTTTACAAGATCAAGAATAAAACAGTTAAATGGACAAAACTGATTTATCAGGATACTAATCACATTCCCTCAACGTGGATCAGCTATGATATTCACAACAGGAAATCAAAGTCACATGAAAAAACTGTAAAACTGATGGGGTTTTTTTGTGTTTTACAAGAACAAAATTCTATAGTAGAAGTGGCCCTAAAGTTATCCGTATTTTATCTGTGTGATACCTGCTCCACATGGTGTTCTAGAGGAGCAGACACAAGCTGTGGCTGTGCTCTGCTGTAAAATCCCTCCCTGATCAGACTCTTTAATGCAAAAAGACATGCTGTAAATCAACTTTAGTAAGCTAAGCCAGCTGACCAACCTTAAAGTGGATATGAAGAAGTCAACCAAGTTAAGCTGATTTACTAAATGGACTTCCACTACAACAACTGTAAACATATAAAAGAAAAAATAAGCCCTGTTATATATTTTGAGGCAAAGGGTGCTGCCATCTCGCAGACCTTTGATCTGTGACACGTAATATTGTAAATAAAGCAATATGATGCATTATATGATATGACTGCCACACCTTAAGTTTTTGGCAGGATTTGAGCAAGAGTCGGCTGCCATGCTAGCTCTGTGAGGCTGTCCTTAAAGGCTCAGCTGTGCTTTGAGCTGAATGCTAACCTCAGCAGGCTAAAATGTTTACAGTGACAATGCTAACATGATGACGTTTAACAAGTATAATGTTTGCCATGTTCACAATCTTAGTTTAGTAGATTTGCTCATCGCCAACCGCAAGCCTACAGCCAGTGTTTGGTGTGTCCCCTCCGGGCTACTGGTCTCAACAGAGGCCACCTGTGGCGTCTGTAGATAAAGACAGCTCATTCTAATGTACCCAAAACATGATTCTTATATTCAGGTGATTATACACTAATGAAAACACAGTTATGAATATTATATTCTATTTCTGCCAATAGAGCCTAAATGTTACATACTGGTGCTTTAAAAAGGGTTAAAAAAAAATGCATTTAATCAGGACTCACATTTATATTTTGGGGCTCTTGCGTGATAAAGTTAAAGCAGGAATTTTGGAAGAAGATAATGATAGAAATGTATCCCTCGTAAACTGAAAAATGTATCAGTAGCAGATGGAAACCTGAATCACAGAGGAAGCATTTGTGAAGGACAGTAAAGGTTAACTCTGGTCTGATACCTTTAAAAACCACCTACACCTACACACACACACACACACACACACAGTACATCTGCCCACACACAGACACCAGGTCCAGATCATTTACATGAAAAAAAAATGGTTTCACTTTCTGTCTCCCTGAAGCTTCCACGCCTGTGGTTTATTCTCATTTTCGCGTTAAAATCGTGGGATTGCAAGCTCCCGCAGGGTCTGGAAACACTTTCCTCACAAGTTAACTATTGTAACCTCACTCTCGTCCAGTTCTCCAAATTCAGCCAAATGTCAGTAGTGGCACTGTGGCAATGTAAAAGGCAGAACTGCAAAACACCTTTGGGGAATTTTTTAATGAACTGAAACTTTTAAACTGAAGCAGTGATTTTACATCAGTTAGTTTGTTTGTGTTATTGTGTGACTCTAACACATTAGTTTGGATCAAACACCAAAATAGCACAATAACACAAGTAAACCAACTGATCAAGGCAGCGGTAGATACATTTACCTAAAGGTTGTATTGGATATATATTGGATATATATCTATACACACAAACAAATATTATTACACACACATATATATAAATTGAACAAATAATAGCTGTAGAGTACAAAATTGGGCACGCGTTATTTTTCACAAGCTACTCGAGCCAAATACTGGAGGTCCTGTTTAAAAAATACTAAGCTGATGAGCTTAAACTACTGACATGAATGAAAGTTTAACTGGGAGATTCTGACTCCGGAAACTGATAAGATCTGCTACAGAGAGGATGTATCACACAGACACTTGCTTGCAGGCACTTTTACTTAAAGTCAACAGGCAAGTTAAATACGGTCCTGTTATCAAGTCACACATTTCAAGTTCATGAGTATCACTTTCTTGGGATTAAGGAAATGAGTGTGATCAGTTAATATTTACTATTGATAGGTCACCTGCGGTGGGCATAACTGTGGGGACATAGAAGATCATTCATTTGTACAATCCTGTCAAAAGTAATGAATAGGCGTTCATAGCCAAATGAATTAGTCATCTATAGTGTTTCTACTGCATTGTGACCATATACCTAATTCCCATTTTTAGCAGTATTTAGTTGAATGCATCCTGTGTAGTAGTTTGGAAGAGTTCAACATTAATATTACTACTCGTGCTTAAAGTAGATAAAGTGATATTTGGACATCAGCATTTGGAGCAAATAGGTTCTCTTCCCATTTTGATGTTGGGGTTTCCTGAAAGTGCAGTTACTGTACTGTAAGTTGCACATTACCTTTTTCACCAGTAGATGTCACTACTCACCAGTGTTTGTTAAATACAAGACGCAACACAAAAGACAAAGATAGAATCCATCCATATATCCCATCATCAACCTCAGGTCCTTCAGACAATGAAAACAGTCGTCATGGGGTTAACACAAAGTTGACATTGAAGAAATTATATGATAAAGAAGCTGACACAACTAGTAAAAACTAGACACAGACAGACACTATGACATGGATTACAACACTGGTGATGAGGATGAGGGTAGAGCACAAGTCATATTAAAATGCTGCCTCAAGAGAGAAAAAAGGAAGTGGGACAAGATAAATTATTGTGTACTCTGTGAGTAAAACATAAACAGAGCAATGAAAAAAAGTGGCCCTAGTAACATGTC